CAAGAACTTGTGTTTTCATTGTTGTATGATCACATAGATTTGTTGCTTGCAGTGATTGTTCTTAATCAAAGTGGGGTTAAAATTGGTGAAACTTGAGTATGTGTTCTGAAAGTAAGTTAGTGGTGACTGTGCTCCCTGTTTACCTTAGACCCAGGTAACTCATACATATATATATATATATATATATATATTATATTATATATATATATGCACCTAGAATTTCTGAGGAGGATGCCTGTAATTGTGCAATTCATCTTGTCGCAGAGATACAAGATAGCATGGCTGGAAAAGGGCAATACACTTAAGTGTAGGGGGGCCGAAAATGTGCATAAAATTATGAACGAAAACCCGTTTGTCCATGTGAGTCCGTTTAAAAGGGGGAAGTGTAAGCAATAAAGTGGAGGCTTTCCCCATTTCTGAGGAAACAGGAAGGTTAAACTCAAAAGGACCATGGTTTATAAACTCATCATGAGTGCCACATGTCAAATTGAAGCTCCTGTCCAAAATGTTTACTATTTAATGTTACTATGTGTAGAATTTTGATTCTATATATATATACATATATAAATGTATAAACTATCAAAAGTGTCACTGGTTTGAGTTTTATCTATAATGATGGCAGTGATAGATGTGGTCAAAATTAATCGAACACCAGCCTGAAGACTTCCCCTACTGATGACGGTCTGATAAAGGGATGGAGGACTTTTTATGGCATGGTTTTATGGTCTCCTCAACTCTAAAGAGCACACGGATCAGTCCTGAATGAATCCTGACAAAAGGGCCGACCCATGCCAGAAAACAACTCCTTCATCTGCAAAGAACTGCAAGAAACCTTCACTGTAGTTTGGACTGAAGGAGTTTCTGTTTTTGTTTTCTTTAGTTTGACTCTGACCTGTTTATTAAATGATAAAAGTTCTACTCTAAGTGTGAGTTCAATTCAAAAATCAATGTGTACTGTGTGTAGAAACTAGATGTTTGTATGTGCAAGTATGGAATTTGTGGAACAAAAGATCAAGGAAAACAATTCCAAAAAAAAAGTTCAATATGACACAAAAATCTATCGTGTGTTGTCTTTGTGTTTTGTAAATGAAGACTGAAAATCTTGGTAAATTCAGTATTTATTACTTCTGGATATTGAGAATATTTTAGTGATGCTGAAAAGGTGCTGTATTTATTTTATGTGAGAGTTGTTCATTATGCTGGGATTTGCACTTTTGTGCCATTTATCCAATTCTATGAAGAAAATGATAATGGAAATAAAACTTGAAGAAAGGAAAGAAAAATGTCATTGTTTGCATTACAGAGATCGGTTTCGTTTGAATTCACAGCTTCATACTTTAAATGTTAATGGCTGTACTTGGCAACAGGTAAATGTACATACACATACTGACTGAAAAGGCCACGCAGCTTCACAATTGAATGCAGTCGATGTTTCAGCGGTCTTGTGATAATTAATGGAAATGTCCATGGGTTCAGAAAAATATAATCCGTTTTCATTTTCCCTTAGGATCTTGGGGTCATGGGACCGGCCTGTCAGAAGCATAGAGAGCCTGTTGTTCTTTAGTTAGTTTTTATTGCCATGTCAACAGTGGCTCTCTGTTATTCTATTTCTGGAGCTGACTAATTCTGTTCTCAACCTTTTTTTTTTTCTTCTTCTCATGTACCATCACAGTCCTAATCAGATGAGCTGAAGAACGCTGTCATTCACACCACCACGATGAACCTGGAATCATTGATGTTTAAGGTTTGGTCTCTTTTCCTTTCACAGTGCGACTGCCATGTGGAGTGGCAGAGCACTTGTTTCAACTCCATTACTTTCAGCTATTTTAGCCCACTTGCCAGCTAGTTTTCCCATGTACACTGAAATGCAACACGTGGTGTTCAGGTGCATCTTTGACAATAACTATACAATATATCAGATCTGACAACTTAAAGCTTATAAGTGTCTTATATTGCTCCTAAACACCAATATGTGAAGATATTTAACCAAAACCTATTTAAATGGCTGGGCTCCACAATCTTGCCACATGTTTGGACTCTCTATAGTGCACCCTCTCAACATACCCTGCTGTTCTGTATCGGTATTGCAGGGTGTCTGTGCAGGCTACAGGCCCAGCAGCCACAAGGGGACTTTTTGGGCTGATTTGTGTCTCACACACTGTGCATCATACTAATAAAGTAGTAAAATGACTTGAATGTCACTTTGTATATGTACAGAAGAAGTCACAAAAGTGCAGTAGTTTTCCTTTATATTTTAAAAAAAAAAAAAAAAAAAAAAAAAAAAAAAAAAAAAAGGGGGGGGGGGGGTCTTATTGTGGGAAGGGAGGCACTGCAGATGCTGCACACTTTTATACAGAAATTGTTTATTTCAGTACATTTGAGAGATCTATGATACATTTCCAACTCTTAACTTAAAGAAATCCACAAGTTATATAAAAAGGATCTACAGAACAACAAAACAAACTTTAGGCCATTGGCTGATCATATTATGGGGTAACAAGCATAGAGTGCGATTCCACACTGGTTGCGTCTGTTTCGAGCCATCTTGATGTAGCCTTCATCTCCGTAGTTTACACCCCAACTACAATCAAAGCATATTCAATCATAAAAAACTCCCCCCCCTCAATAACCAGGTCAAGGAAAGTGAATATAAAATTCACACTGAACAACACTTTTCAGACCAACCTGTTTTTGACCAGCCAGTAGTCATGTCCTCTCTCATTGCCATATCCCACAGCCAGCACTCCATGGTTCACATCACGACTGCATCTGTGGTCGATGTACACACCTGTTGGGCCACACAGACAGAAAGCAAAACTCAGCTCAAGTTGAAACCAGACTTAGATCACGGGACAAAAACTCACTTCCTCACACCTCACCAAGATTAAAACTTATTTTAAGAAATAACCACTCACCATGACGGTAGAAGACAAAGTTTGGCCTGGAAGCATCAACTGCAACAGAGATGGGGCCGATGGTAGCCAAGGCCACTTTTAATTCAAATTCATTTCCCTCCGGTAACAAGCCAAAGCTGGAGCAGTTAGCAGCCCGATACTGTGGGTTATACTTGCAGTGACCAGGCTGCAAAGAAAGTCATGTGCAGGGGAATTACTGCATGTTTTGACAGAGGCTCATCTAAAAGCTTTAACTACAGTATCAGAAATTTTAAACATGCACTGGTTGACCATTTGACTCACTTTTCCAGTATAAGGGTAGGCTGCATTAGAATCAATGCCTTTGTTTTTAATAATATATTCGAAAGCATTTGTCATGAAGCCACCGTTGCACCCGTGGTTGCCGTATTTTGTGGAGCAGTCCACCAGATTTTGAGGACTGAGGGACATCAGGACACCAGTAGATTTCTTGAGTTGCCCCTCAAGAGCTCCAACTGCACTGAAGGCCCAGCAAGAGCCACAAGAACCCTAGAAATTACCAAAAAAAAAAAAAAAGAAAAGTTTCTCATGAATGAAATGTAGGCCAAACCTTCTAACCCATCAGTACACAAGACAAGTCTAGATGTTCTGTGTTAACTTGTACAGACACTTTAGGATATCTCACCTGCATTTTGACTTCAGTGACCAGGCCTTTATCCCTCCAGTCCAGTGATGCTGGTAGAGAAGTATTGACCCTGATGGACTTGGAAGGACTCCTCTCCAGGTCAGAGGGCACGACGGTGCCCGTCAGCATGCCTGTAATCTCCTGAGTGGTCTACAACATAAAAAAAAAAAGACACGGTTTTATGAGGCACACAGTGGTTCGATGAAACAAAAATAAAAGTAAGTAGCCAGTTGTCACCAGGTCTCCCAGGTGGTTCATTGCTAGTTCATATGTATGTAAACCCAGCGATGCCTCCAGGTTATGGACATTAATAATTTCCAGGTTTTCTTCCCATATCCGCCTGCGACCCAACTCCTCAATCTGGAATGCAGATCATTAAAGAAATGTCAAACAGTTAATAATCCACCACAAAAAACAGTATTTACACTGTTCGTGACAAAGAAAATGGATAATGTTAGGATTTCTAGTTATGCAAGTAAAAGTTTTCCTCCAGACAAGAGACATTGTGTTTACATAGAAGAAAAAAAAAAAAAAAAGTTGAGTCACTAGTGTAGATATAATTGAACAGGATATTACACCTGAACCTAATAATTTAATCCAAAACTATAAACATAGACCTAACAAATAGACACCCTCTAGACAAAAAACAGTATTATTAAAGTGACTTGGTTGACAGAGATTCAAGACCTTTACCTGATGTGAATACACTTTTTTATGCATCTTCTTCCATAGCTCCCAGTGTCGATCAAGTTGTGAACTGGTAACGGCCGCTGCAAAGCCACACAAGATGGTGAAAAGCAGGCTCCGTAACATAGCTGTGTCTGGAAAAGGAAGAACTAGTCATTCAACCGGAGTCAGTGAAAACAAATGTTTTATAACAGACTGCAGGCCTCATGGTTCAAGCCTTGATTGCGCAGCTGCAGCAGACTCAGACACCTCCAGGTGATGACAATTAACATTTAGACGCAGTGGAAATAAAACTGGTCCAAAATCAGTAGATTAGTAAAGGTTATGCTGGAGATATTTAAACATGAACAACATTCAGAGAGGGGATGTATTTTATTTTGTTTTGGCAAAAATTGGCAGATAAGTTATTTCCAATAATTCAGATCAAAAAAGTGTAATTTTCTTTTAAGTGTTCTCAGTTAATTCAATGTGATTCTAAGTTTATCAACAATAAACACAATTGTAAAACCTGTTTTTGCAACACTCATCCAAGTTACCATACGCAGAGAAAATAGATGGAGAAAACAGTGACACCTGAGATAAATAAGACACGGTGATGGTGATGAGTGATTTTTTTTTTTGGGACTAAACAGATGGAGCTAGTATACAGCAGATAAGAGATATTTTATATCTCTGTATTATATCATCATCAAGAGGTTTATTTAAATCTATTAAGTACATTTTAACACTGTTAAAATATTAATATTTAAATAAACACATCAAATATATAAAACAGTGTAAAATCTATAAGATCTATAAATAACAAAACAGGTACAAAGCAAATATACTTTTTTCTGGTGTATACGTGTCCATTCAAGAATTCAAAACATCACTGAGAAAGGCTCCGAAGCAAATACAATAATTTTAAGAAATTAACTTTTAATACAACTTTTCTTTTAGTATTTTTGACACTCAGAACAACATCTACAGTTACAGTGTTAAAAATAAAAAGCCCAAACATCTGGTCTCTGATACTAAATTAAATAAGATAAATTCTACTGAGAGATGATTCAGGTGACAAGTCACAGTGTTGGGTAGATGGCAAAGCTGGCGATGCCACAGAGATTTCTCTTATTCCTCGCAAGTCGGATGAAGCCTTCCTCTCCCCACTCAGTTCCCCAACTGAAACCACAAAAACAGTCAACTTAATATCATACACTACACTCACACACTGAAGTCACTACTTTCTTTTATTTCTTTTCACATGTGGGGTAATGGGGTAGCAAATCTTCATAATCATCCAGTCAAAAAAAGACAAGCTCACCTGTTTTTCACAAGCCAGTAGTCTTGTCCTCTGTCTGTGCCGTAGCCCACGACCAAGACGGCGTGATTTATAAACCTTGGGTTGCAGCCGGGGGCATTATATAAACCTAAAAGATCCGTACGTTTAGTAACAGTGGCTGAGAAAAATGAAATATAAAGTGATAAAATGTCATGAACCCTCTGTTACCCTGATATTGGCATTACTGCTGACACCTGACACTTCCTGTAGCTTCAGGGGTTACAGAGTTTCTGTCTGCTAAAGTAATCTAGCAGTTCATTTCATGCTTTAAAGCCACTTCTGCCCCAATTTTGTTGTTCATTCCTTACACCTTCCAAAAAAAAAATCATATTTCATATCTGATCCCATTTGATTAAAGGATTAATCAATAATTGATTTTGCAAACATTTAGAAAAAGAGTTATAGTCCTCGTCAACTCATCCATAACTCCAAATACAAATATGCTTCGTAAAATCTGTATTTGCAGCACACAAGTTTTATAAATATAAAGCTCATGGACAGTTGTGACAAACTTAGTCAAAAGTCTATTTTGGGAACAGTATAAATACTGGGACAACAGTATTTCAGCAGAGAAAACTGCATTATTACTGCAGTGAGAGTGCAGTGTCCATGCACCCATGCACATCTCCATATCCAGAAGCCTTCATCCTCACCTCCTCTGTAGTTATGGAAAGATGGCAGCATGGCGTTCACGGCCACAGCGACAGGACCTACTGATGCCACCACAGCCTGCAGGGCCCTCTCATCTCCTCGTGGAAGGATGTGGAAATTAGAGCAGTAACCAGCCTTTCCTTTCACAGAGTAGCGACATTTCCCATTCTACAAATAGAAATGACATTTACAAAATATGTTATCATTATTTAATATTATATTATATTCTATAATGCTAGACTGACAGGTGAATGAGCAGTGCGCATCAAGATGGTTAATGGAGGAAACACTGGAGAGACTCAGCCACATATTTGAGCCTCAGTCAGACCGAGACTCAGATGAAGAGTGTGTTGTGCACCAAAATCATCGACTAGCAGATATGTCAGACCGGTTAGCATAGGTAGCATCTTTTACTTGTTTACTGTAACTGCCAGAGGCTGACGCAGTGTTAGTGGTTGTGCTAATGCAAACTCTCGCTCTCTGTACTGACAAGGTTATGGGTTTATTTAGCCCCCCCCCACCATCCCTGCAAGTTGACATGATTGATTCCTTAGGTTATATGACATGAATCCTTGGCCGGGTGGGCGGTGGAAATACGAAATCAATAAAGAAAGAAAGGAACAAACAAACAAACAAGGAAGGAAGGAAGACAGAAAATGCGGCCTTCATGCTTTCTGAGGGCAACCTTGTGTTCATAGGGGTAAAATCTCTCTGAGTCGACGCCTTCGTTGCGAATGACGTATTTGAAGGCTTTCGAGATGTATCCTCCTTTGCAGCCGTGGTTTCCATCACTGGTGCTGCAGTCCACCAGGTTCTGTGGACTCAGGGGAACAAGAACACCTGTTCGTTTCTTCATCTGCCCCTCAAGAGCTCCCAAAGAGCTGAAGGCCCAGCAGGACCCACATAACCCCTCAAAAAAACAAAGGGAAACATTACTAAGTTTATTGCCACTGTTTTTTTCCGTTAGATTGTACTCATTTCCCCCCTTTAAAAAGCGGATCTCACTTGGTTTTGGACAGGACTGACCAGGCCGTTCTTCCTCCAGTCCACACCCTGAGGCATCGATAAGCCGCTCACTTCCTTAAAAGTGCCATTTGTGAAATTAGCAGGGTCCTCCAGCTTCAAGCCGTTCAGCTTCTCATTGATCTCCTCAGCTGTCTTAATAGAAAAGAGGGCTGGTAAATATGTGAAAGAAATATGCACATAATAGAAACATTACAACGTCTAAGATTAGTGATGATCTTTTCACTGCAGCACTTAAATTTAGACTCATTTCTCATTGAACTATTGTTTCTTTACAGCAGTTTAAGGACACAGTGCAATACATTTCAGCGTGCTGAAAGTCCATCTTGAATTTAACAGCCTCTCCTAAAAAGTTCTCTATGGATTACTTGTACTGAAACAGCTCTACTCATGGTCATAAATGAGCTCTGCACCTCCCTCCTAGAACCTCGCCGGGTTATGAATCTGTGTAGAAACTATTATAGTCAAGTTTTTATTTTGGACATGTTTTCCTTCAGCATAAGTGACACCAACATGCAATCATAAAATTAACCACAACTTCCTCCGATTCTTATCATAATTTCAACTTCTGCCTTCAGCAGAAAGAGCATAAAGTTCAAATCCAGCGTCAGCTTTATTGTATTTATCATGATGCTGCATAAAGTCCAGCACCTCACCTCTTAGCCTCTTGCAAATGATCTACACTTCAGCTGTCTATTCATCTCCAAGACAACTATAACACACTGTCCTTCTCTGGGGATCTCTGACTAGAGGCCAAAAGCTCGAGTGTGTCCCAAACATTGTTGCCAGTTTCCTGCAGAGTTAACACGTCACGCCCATACAAGGCTCCACTCCTCAGGCCTCCTGCCGTCTTCAGGCTCAAAATAAAATAAGATCGAAATCCTCCTCTTTCCAGCGCCTTCCAGCGCAGCTTTGTAAACGCCCTCCCTCCCTCCCTGCCGTATCTTCCTTTTTACTCATACAAACCTTCATTCCCACACGTAAGTCAAGCAATGGCCTGATCAAAGAGACAAAACTGAAACATGATCTCTTCATCACTACAAAAATATTTTTTCTGTCATGCATATGTATAACTGCTTCTTTGCATTGCATTTTTAGTGCATACTATCCATTTCTAGTCCTTCACAAAGCAACCATTTATGTTTGTTTTAATAACAGTAGTTTTCTTTTACATAATTATTAAGATGAATCACTTTGAAGTCCATATTTTTTGAAATGCCAGAATTGAAATTGCCATGCCGAAACAAAACGCAGTTCCACTGTATTTCTAAATATTTTCGAACTGTTTTTTTTTATAAATTGATGTAACTTAGTTAGCCTTCTCACATGTGCTGTAGGTCATATAACCAGATTGGCCCAGCCTATACAGGATTAAATTAATCAGATTGTATAAAGGAAGATTAAAGCAGCTCTATAGGTTAGGGTTTAGATTAAGCCTACATGGTGCAGGTTTAAATGCAGATTAACAGTGTTGGTCAGTCGACCATCTTGCACCAGCAAAGGTCAATGAGTGTGAATGCACTTCAGGTTATGATGTCCAGTGTTTGTCTGCGCAGGGCCTGGGAGGCAGGGCGAGGCAGTGCGGTGGTTGATATGTGGAGACCGGTGTTTGTGCCAAAATGTTTGTCGTGTGCTGTGTAACCACCAGAGGTCTCTCTCATGCATTTCTGTCCTAAACAAACCCCACTCTGGTTCTGTAATTTGTCAGATGACAAATCTGACAAATCTTGAATATCTTCAATAATGGTTTCCTCAGTTCTACTGCAGATTTCTGTCAGCCAACAAACTCCGTACAAGCTATAATTTAGTTTACTATTGTCAAGTAATAAGCGCAAGATTAATCAAGCAAAAATAAAGACAGTTATCTGCACTCTTGCTATGGAAGTGAGAGAAGTTTATAAAAAGTGATTAGAGTAAAAATAAAATAAATAAAAGATAAAAGTTCGAGTTTGTTAGATTTTACTCTGCAGGGAGTTTTAACTTGAAGCTCAGAAAAGTACAAACAAAAGATTGTCTGACTTTTTCTTCTGTATCTCAACATTTCTTGTGCTCTTGTGTAACTGTGGGTGTGAACTGCAAACTGAGAAAAACTGATCTCAGAGCAGGTCAAAGTCTGTCACAAAGAAAACGTGAACAAGAACTATTTATGTGAGTCCAGATGACACTGAATTATTTATCTGCATATCTCAACCTACAATGATGTTTTGAGAAAATCCAGATCTGTCTGATATGATGCAAAACTGAAAAGTTAGGAAGGCTTGTTTTCTCAGCAACAGAAACTAAAAAAAACCACAAGCTGTTTGTGCTGGAGCAGAATCCTACCATGTCAGCCAGGTGGTTCAGTCCCAGAGTGAAGTTATGTTTTCCCGCTGATGCCTCCTGGTTGTGTCTCAGCACCAAGCCCAAGTTCTTCTGCCACACTGCTCTCCTGAAGATGATCTCTGTCTGAAACAGAAACACTGACTGTGTGATCTTTCCACCTGTGTGGGTGAGTATGTGTGTGTGTGTGTGACAACAGAGAGAAAGGTTCTACCTGATTATCATAAACCCTGTGATGTTTGATTTTCCACTCTTCCCACATCTTATTTAAAGCTGATGAAGAATGGCCGAGGACCAGGAAGGCCAGAAGCAACACCACACACAAAATGTGCATCCTGCAGAGGAAAAAAACAAAACAGTCACTTTAAGGGAGCAGCCATGAGCCTCATGTCTTTCTATAGAGCTGAAACTATTCGACTAATCAGTTTAACAACTGACAGAAAATTCACTGTCAGTAAATGATTAAATGATAAGATTTTGCTGCTTTTCTTTGTCTTTGTGTGACAGTAACCTCAGTGTCTTTGGGTTTTGGACGGTTGGTTGGAAAAGCGTGAAGGTGTCACTTTGGCCTCTTCTGGGAACTTATGATGTGCATTAAGGTTACAGCCACAATTTTAGAAAAACGTTATGATTTGAACCAGACCAGAAAAATACAGTTTCAACAATTTGTAATTTTGTATTTTTAATTCAGCTCACAGTTCAGGTGTGTGTTCTGTGAATTTCCTCTTTTTGAATTCAGCAAAAGCAAAACAAGCGCATCAGAATCTTCCTTCACCATCGAGAGAATGATGAAATACACGATAAACATTTTGAGATTCATCATACGGTACACGTTGAACGTAAACTCCTCAGGATCTTAGCATCAGTCCCTGCAGCAACAGCTGATTAGCTTCTTTCTGCAGTAGAATATAGTCACATATAAACACAAATCTTCAATAAAGACTGCACTATTATATGTGCACACTGCACAGTTCAGCTAAACAAATCTGAAACCACAACACGCAGCACTGCATACAATATTCATAGGTGCATGTTTAGAACTAAAGGGAGGAAGTTAGAGCCGGTAAAACCTTCACGTAAAAGTTAAATAAGAGTCAGACATGTTTGCTTTGGCTATTTTATGCTGTTGACTTTTCTTCACCTCAAAAAGGAGAAGTTCAGACCTGTTTCACTGTAATCTCTGAACTCCTTTCTCGCTTTTGCGCTTTTATTCATCCACACACCGTACAGTCGTAAACTCTGTCAAGCATTTGACCTCCACACACTCTACACACTGCACAGAAAATCAGCCCCGAGCAGTCTTCACACTGTTAATGACAACAAATGAAAAGTTTACCTCGTCGCACGACAATCAGCAAAGTTATTCTGTCCAGGGAAGAAAGTGCACCCGTTTTCAACCAGCCTTCACACATTAAAGAGGAAGTATAGTTTCCTTTAATACACAGTGTGTTTTTTTTTCCAGTGCATCTGCTCTCTGACTCATCATGTGAATCTAATTTACAACCAGCTGCGGTTGCCCAAAACAGTCTTCCAGTATGAGAGGTGGAAGTCACAAAAGTTACATGTTACAAATGTATGTAAAATAAACAGTCTGTGGAGAACAAAGTGGGAAAAAAAACAAAAAACTGAGGATGAGAACATTTAGAAATCATTTAACAAATCAAAGGATGATTTGTGATCATAAAACTGTAGGTAAATTGTAGAATTTTAAATAGTTGAAATAATCTATCAACATTTTCTTATTACAGTAATCACTTCATCAACATATTGAATTGTGTTTGACATTGCTGCTAATGATATTGCTAATTTCTGTCAGTGTCAGTTTGTGATGAGAGAAGCAGTTAGTTTGAACCCTCAGAGTAAAAGGCTATAAATTGGGACTAAAACTGTTATTATCAGCTGTCACGAGTGGACCATGTTGTTTGTTAGTGCTGGTTAGGAAGACGTGGTTTTTCTATTGGCTAAGGTGTGTTGCTATATTGTGTGTTTCCTGTTTGCGCGAGAGGCTGTGGTGTTAAGTGTTCAGTCACGAAAGCTTATTTGTCCTTCAGCGTACTTCTCTAAGATGCATAGGTTCAAAAATACAACAACATAAAAAGAAAACGCATCATAAAATAGTCTGTTTATTTAACAGACATTTGATTTTTGTGCTCAAGTTGCTGCTGTCCCATTACATGCAGGCTCTTGCTGTTAATAAGGGTACAGTTGTTGGTGACTTGTAGTGAGCGGACTGACAAAGTGCACGTGATGATGAAGAGTGGTTAACGTGTGTGTCAAAGTGCCGTGTTACAGTTACAGTTTCTCTTAATCTCTAATTAATCAAAACGCAACTCTCTCTGTCCAAAGGGAACTAAATGCTACATGTACTGGACTATTTCTTGGCCTGGAGCAGTGTTTTGTTGTCAGGCAACATAACCAACCATACAACCGCATCATGTTGTTTTTACATTGATTAAAGAAAAGCTGGTAATATGATAATATATATATTATTGAGTGAGCTTTAGAGGTGCCAGTAGGCTAATTTTGTTACTTTTGGACAAAGCCAGACTAGCTGTTTCCCTCTGTCTCCAGTCTTTATCTTAGTTGAGCTAAGCTGAGCTGAGGTAACCAGCTGCGGGCTGTAGCATTTCACAGAATTTACCAACAAAGCAAATAAATAATATGATAAATATAAAAGAATATTCCCCGATTTCCAGTCATCTCTTTTCTTTAATCCATCTAATAAAGGCAGAGAACCAGAAACATCACGGGAGTCATCACTGCAGGGATCAACAATGACGCAACAATAGGATAATAAAAGGACAGGAGGATATTATGCAATGAGGAGCTTTGATTTGGCCGAGGCTGTAATTGGCGTTCATCTCTGATCTTTCTCTTCCTGGATCCGGGGGTTGGACAAAGATTCGCTGATGAACGCAGGTTCCCCGAGGTACCAGATGGTAAGTTCCTGACTCAGCACCCGCTCTTCTTCTGTGGTGGTGATCATCCTTAGGGTCAACACACCACATAATCCTGCAGCGAAGCAGAGAGACAGACAGTTCTACTCAAACACCTGATTGTTTCTTTTTTTTTTTTTTAAATTAAACAACAAAATGTTTGAAAAATAGAATTTACATGTGGAGCAATGTGGGTGTACTGAGCAGCTAAAACACAGAATGCAGAAATTTACAAATGAATGTGCACTCGTTATACTTATGAGCCAATTATTCAAGTCTTTCAGAGACGTGGGACGATATTCAATCACAGAGGGGAAAAGAAAATCATTCTTCAGTCAAATACATCAAAGAACATGTTACCACCCACATCTTCTTATTGAAACCTGACATAGATTTACTGTAAAGCTAATTTTAGATTGAATCAGCTGATGTGTTCAAAAGCACCTGCTGTTATACAATTGTAAGAGAATGGATTCAGGGCAAATGGAGCAACTGAAAATGGATTCATATATTTACTTTGATTGCAGTCTCTTCCTTCATTAATTGTTAATAGATGGAAATATCATGATTGCTGAAACCTATATCCCATGCTGCAAGTGCTCCAGTTGAAAATGACCTACTTTGTCAGTAACCATCATGCCTGCCAACCCAAACTTGTAGGTAACCTGTTGTTGAAGAACCTGCAGAAATACTTATTGCACTTCCTCACACAGAAGCTCATTGTCCACATTTCTCAGCCAGGTCGCTTTGGCCAACTTGTTCTATTTTTTAAATGACGCATACATTAGACTACACTGTGCTGTCACTTTTATTCTCCTATTTTATCTGTTTGATTTAATTTTAGCTTATTTTTTAACTCCAGTTTTAGTTTTTAACACCCATGTACATTTACTTTTATATTGCCTTGTGTCCCTGTTATGTATCGTCTTAATCCCTTCTTATGTCTTATGTACAGCACTTTGAATGGCCTGGTTACTGCTGAAAGGTGCTGGACACATAAACTTGCTTTCCCTTTTCTTTCCTTACACCATGGTACATAACATATTTTTAATTGGAGTAAGAGTTAAGGGTTTTTTCCATTATTAGTTGTTATTTCATTATCACTTACACCAATATTAATATTATTGTTGATGTAGTTGCCCGTTCTTGACAGGGAACAAGCAGGGCTGGAAGTTTGATGTCAACAACCAAAGAGTGAAATTTTTTGAAAGAGAAACAATAGCTTGTTTCAGGGCTGTGCAGAAACTTATAGATCTGTGCAGCTGCTCAAAGTAAAAAGAAAAAAGGGCACATGCAGCAAGATTTTAAAACACCATACACCAACATAATTTACAGCATAACCTGTTGAAATAGAGCAACCCACATTCACACACAGAATGTGACATGGTATCTTACAACAAACGGCGTCACACTATATCATTGCTCGCCACCTATCACCTAAAACAACTGGAAAACTGTTGCCTACAATGTCGCCTAACTGTTCACCAGGACCACTGTGGTCAGGACCACTTTCAAACTTATGTTGCATAACTGATGCACGATGTGAAGGGGATGCTGTTGTGTAACGATAATACTCATGGCATGTGATTGTCAAAGGACAAAAAAGCGGGAGAATATACAGAGCGCAGAGCATACACACACACACACACACACACACACACACACACACACACACACATACGCACACACAATAGTCAGCACCATCAAATGGAATTAGCTAAATTAGCTTTAAGGCTGCTTGGAAGTAAAATTTTACATTCTCTAAATTGGTGGACAGAAATTCACTTCATCCATGTCAGAAGAAAGTAACTAAGACACAAACAGAGACCAGCTTGTGATGGGGTCACAGCAGCCCTGATGCTTGTCAATATGTCAACCCATGAGTGCTCAGTAGTTATTAATACATGGTCTTCCCCTAGGAGATAAATAAAGTTGTCTATCTATCTATCTATCTATCTATCTATCTATCTATCTATCTATCTATCTATCTATCTATCTATCTATCTATCTATCTATCTATCTATCTATCTATCTTATTAAATGACTATTCAGTACTAATGGGCCTTCATTTTGATGAAGACTGCAGAGTTACACCACTATTCAATGCTGCAGAAGATGTCTGTGTGGTCATTTTCTCTGAGGTAAAGTGAGGTAATTACACCTGCTCAAGTTTTAATGAATCAATGTCAGTAACTTTAAACAAGACAGCATTAACAAAATGACACATGTTAGGACCGACAGACCAGTTGTGATGGCGTTTTGCAGCATGATACTCATACTAATAATCCAGTATTAGTAATATATCTGATAGGATTCATCTGACAGCTTTTTTTTTTACCCTAAAGCACCAGCCTTTATTCACTTCTGGCCATGAATTTACAAACAAAAAAAATAGATCATTATCCAACTTTCAAGTGGCTCTGACAGAAAAAAAGATAAAAAGATGTTCCTTTATTTCCAAGTGTCAGCGCATAAAATCATTCCCATCTGTTGTTGCTCCTAAATCTCTGCATTTGGCTGACCTGAGGCTGCCTCCTGTCATCCAGTGCAGCGTTTCTGGATGAAGTCCAGGAAGCGAGTGCATATAATCCCCCAGCATGCACAGAGCACTCGCGCATTTCGTCCAGAGCCAGGTTGCTGTTGCCATGCGGACAGCAAAGCAACAAGGGGAACTGAGCTGCAGTAACACGCTTAAACTGGAGTCGAAAAATTCAGAATGAGAGGATGAAGCTCTCTCGTTGCGACACGTCTGTCTGTTTCTCTCACATTGCAGGTTTCATTTGGATGTATTTTTGAGCAACAGAAGGTTCTGAGGTGGAGCTGACAGACCAAAAGATGTGCCCTGCAATTTAAATTATCTTTGCTTGTATCAAAGATTTACCCAGAGACAACTTCAGAGAAAAACCTACACTTGTAAACGTACTCCTGAATGCCATGACAATGACAAGCCCTCCAGACTGAAGAGACGGTGAGTTACAATACTTCATTTTCCTTTTCTCTCCCTACAAATGACTGTAATTCTGTGGCTTTTACATTACCATCCTTTGTATTTGAGCTATTGAAACTGTCAAGCCACAGTAAATGACTGCAATTTCACCTTTGCACACTATTTTCACTCTCCGGCATGTGCGCACCCAGGGGAGTACAGGAGGAGTCAGCCTCCATCATTAACTGCTCCGGGGAGTTGCTGTCATCACAGACAGTTAGACTATACTATACTATATCAAGAGAAAATTGCCACCTGAAAAACAGCATCTAAGATACAGCGAGCGATCATTTTACGCTGCTTCACTCTGGTGTGTTTGTTTGCTGAAATTTGGAATTTTAGAAGTTTCCTAGGATACCACAAGTTTCAAAAGTAGATGATTTAAGTAGAAAATAATTTAGGGAAGTCTAGCATTAAATGTGTGGACGTGGGACCAAAATAGATCAGTTTGCAGGGATGGGAAAAGGCATACA